GGTCGGATTCAAGGAAACGGAGAACAGCGTGAACTCGAAAAAAAGAACGACGTTGATCTCGTTTTACTTTAAATGAATTCACCGGCGTTATACAGATCGCGTTTACCAAAATGAAGTTTAGATTTTCATTCGTTCACAGTGTTACACGCTCATAAAATAATATTTGATGCAATGGGTAATTTAAATAAAATAATTCTAATAAATATTTATAATTCAATCATGTGATAATTAGGATAAGTTTTTTAATTTTTAATTTAATAAGTATCGTCGACTACAAAGTATAAAACAACAACCTTTACCTATAAACTAGTATACAAATATTTTATTGAGGACTTTTTTTATATTACTGGCAATTTTCTTTTTATTCCCGATATTGTATTGTCAAAAAATTTATTGATGACTGTTTGACAACTGACAGCTGCTTTAAATACGTTTAAAGAATTAACTGTAGGAAATCAGACGTTCAGAATTTATAAACGTGTTTAGCGAAATTTGTAGTGGTGAAATGCAAAATGAAGCTTTGAACAAGTTAAAACATTTTAATGGCGTTCAGTACGAACTAAACGTGATAAGTTTCTTTGGTGAAATCCGACCTTAGTAAATTAAATTATATTAATCAATATTATTTTTTTAGAGGAATAAAATGTCAGTTGTCATGACGCATCAGCCCATCTGCACCTTTCTAGGGTAAAGGATTCGTGGACCACGAGAGGTATGGTCGTGTTACATGCCTCCCATTCGTAAATTAAAAACAAGAGAAGGGGTCTGCATAGTCGGATCAGGCCGTACAGGTTGCGGAAGACTGCTCGCGCATTCCAGTAACTCTGACACTTTTGTTCGGAATGCGCGAGGGAATGAAGAGTTCTTCTCTTTCTACACCTAGGGGTTTTCACTCGGAAGGAGTCCGGCAGTACCCATTACCTCCCCCTGTGCGGGCGAGTCTTCATAACAATTTTCCCAAGACAAAAAAATATCGGAACTAACCTCTTTGCCCCGGTATCTGCTTCAGGAGTAAACTTAACTGAGCCCCTTGATGGGCGAGCTGCTTATTATTACTATTTTTAAACGTAATATTATGATATGAACATTATGATAAACTATAATGGATAAGAAAAAGAGATAGACAAAAACTATCACAATTAAGTACAGTAATAAATACACATACATATACATATATATATATATATATATATATATATATATATACCTACATTTGGAAGAATTAGATCTTTGCTCGAGCAACCGAGAGAGGTAAATTGCGTTCACTGCTTTCCATCACATTATTCTGAATACTGAATTTCAGTATACTAAAACGGTTTGTTTATGTAGGAATGTTTTTCTTACTTGCAAGAGGGAACATCCCTCAGTGTCTAATTATTAAATCCATTATTCTAAGGTTACCTTGATAAGACTGCTTTCTTCTTATCAGTTACTAGTTTTTACCCGCGGCTTCGCTCGCGTTAATTTATCCCCTTGGGGGTGGAATTTATCAAAATTCTTTCTTAGTAGATGCCTACGTCATAGTAGCTTTATGCATGCAAAATCTCAGCCCGATTGGTTTAAAATTGACAAAGTTTCATACAAACTCTCATCCCCTATTTTATCTCCTTGGGGGTAGAATTAATCAAAATCCTTTCTTAGCGGATGTCTACGTCATAACATCTACCTGCATGCCAAATTTCAGCCCGATCTGTCCAGTGGTTTGGGCTGTGCGTTGATAGATCACTACGTCAGTCACCTTTGAGTTATATATTATATATTTAAATATAGGTATAATTAATTGGTATTTCTTCTTATGAATGAAGAAGAACATGAAACAACTAATAAACGTGTAGTACCTTCAATTGAATCTGCTTTTTGATCATCGGTGCGTGGTTGTTGCCAGTAATAGATCTTTTGTTATCTATACCCAGTTATTGACAATACTTGTGTAAATATTTACAATACGTCTGCAAATGTGTAACTCCTAAATTGGGTAAGTATTAATTGTGAATTGAATTTCACGTCACAAAGAGAAAGGTGAATTATCGAGAAAACTAAATTGGCGTAAGAAATTATTGATGGAGGCAATTGAAATTTAATATATCAGGTACTAGCTACTACACGGCTGTACATTTATTACATATATAAGCCTTCCTCTTGAATTACTCTATCTATTAAAAAAACCGTTTCAAAATAAGATACAGCCGTCCCTATGGGACGGACAGACAGCAACAGTGACTTTGTTTTATACTATGTAACAATAATTAAGTCTGAAAGGTTTTTAGAAGTCAATAAGTACTATATTCGTGCATGAGAGAAACATCAGGTAGAGTATGGTTAATAACTAAAGGTATTTATTTTAATACTAGCTGTGCCCTCGGTTTTACCTGCGTGAAATTTATAGCTCATATGTCATTCTGTATAAAAACTATATGTCTAAGTATTTATTAATTTATATTAGTTATCCATAAGATAAACTCTGCCAACTGTGGGACTAGATGGCCGTAACGCAACAAAAATTTGCAGATTTTTCCAAACTGAAGAGGAAACGCACGAACATCTTATGTGGTTGTAGCCCATAAAAAATAGACTTCTGTCGATGCACTCGATACTTATGCAAAATTAAACATAAACTACTGGAACATTATCTCAATTTGTAACTTTTTACTGCTCTCTTTCTTTTATTATTTCTTCTATTCTACTCTCCTTAGTTCTGTGACTGTCAGACTATTGATTATCTAGCATATATTTATTTCTATATATGTATAATATAATATTTGTATATATTTATGTATTTAAATGTGTATATATATTTATTCACGTATATTCTATAAAATATAATATTGTTTGCCCCGCCAACAACTTATCTCTGCACAACTCATGGTTGCCTGGTAGAAAATGTCATTAGGTGTTAAGTCCGCCATATGTACTTTTTACCCTGTGCATGACGTGCATTTTAAAGTAATTTAAATAAATAAAAAATAAATATATATCGTATGTATCGTTCGGTTTATATTTTGTCACATTTTATTTATCATTTATTATATTTGCACCGCCAACATCTATTCTCTGCACCACCTATGGTTGCCTAGTAGAAAGTGTCGCATGGTGTCAAGTCCGCCAAATGTACTTTACTATATTTTGTATATTGTGTGCATTGAAGTTAAATAAATAAAAAAAAAACATTAATATACCTGACAAATAGACAACCACATCTACGCATCTATAAAATTAGTATATATTATACACTATATTATACAGAAGATAACATTATTGTGTGATATACAACATGACACAAAGTCCCAAGTTCCAACTGGTAGTTAATTTATTTTCCTATTATGGTGACAAACGGCGTAACACTGTCTACTGTAGGGAACACGGTATTAAGGTCAATTTATAACGGACCTTATTAATTTATCGCTCTTTAATATATATTATGCGTATGTTTTGGAATTATATATATAATTAGCTTAACTTCAATTTTTCTAAAATATAAGTAGCCTAAGTTACTCCTTATTACATCAGCTACCTGCCAAAAAAAGTCCCGTCAAAATCGGTCCAGCCATTTCAGAGATTAGCCGAATCAAACAGACAGACAAAAATTAAAAAAACGGTTATTTCAATATTACAAATAGATACTCCAATTTTATTTATATTAAAAACATATTACTTATCGATTATATATATTATATTGAAAAATATATAAGCGTTATTTTGACGATTCGCGATTTGGTCGCCGAAAAGTCAACACTAAGTTTCCAAGCTATACTCGAACTCTATTCGAACTCTATTCGTTACCTGATGATCCATCACATACATAATTTATACCCATAAATCTATCACTAATAAATATTTTTGACACATATACCTACATACATACACTATATCTTAATTTGAAAAATATTATGAACGAAAGTTTGGGAATATGGACGGCCGATTGTTATTCTTTCGCGCAAAACTACTGTACAGATTTTGATGAAACTTTACTGTAATATGGCTTATACATTATAACATATAGGCTATAAAATTCACGCGGTTGAAACCGTGAGCATATACCATATATGTAGAGTAGAATCCGTTTATTATGATTATTATAACGTAATTACACTACCAAGGTTGGTTTTCATATAAAATTCTTTATAAAAAACTCGGATATAATGACGTCCCTTACAGTGACATGTCGCTTATTATGACCTATTTTTAGTAAATTATATCCGGCTACAATGACCACACAAATAAAGCAGACAAAAATTACAGATTACTTACATTAAAAAATACACAATTGTATATATATAACGTAGTTTAATAGAGAAACGTAGTAACTACATATTACGTGAAAATAAAAATCACGTAATCAGTACATTATACATACATATTTACATAAAAACTGTTTTTTTTTTCACAAAACGCTTTGTATGATGTCCGCTTATTATGACGTGTTTCTCGATTCCTTTTGATGTCATTATAAACGGATTCAACTGTACATATATAATTTAGAAACAGAAAAACCTCCCCTATATGATAAAAAAAAAATAAACAGGGTGTCGCGTACAAGCAACAACAAAACGCAACACAAAAGGAGCGTTCTGATTGGAGCGCACACCCATCCAATTTAAATACGCAACGTAAAGCAAAGACTTTAAAAAATCAATCGATCGATCTAACGTACCATTGTTCACTCATCTATAACTTGTAAATGTATATTTATAATTAATTTTAAGATAGTAAGCAAATTCTATCATTGTCTACAACCCGTAATCTGCTGAAGCCATCAACACCTACCATCTATCATTCGAGCCGCAACATCACCAACCATCTGAGCATTCGAGCCGCATCATCACCTACCATCTGAGCATTCGAGCCACAACATCACCAACCGTCTGAGCATTCGAGCCGCATCATCACCAATCATCTGAGCATTCGAGCCACAACATCACCAACCATCTGAGCATTCGAGCCGCATCATCACGTACCACACGGAGAATCAGAAATAAAATGGCTAATATAAATACACTAACCTGTTGCATGCTAACATTACCCTCGTCAATATCAAAGGGTGGTCTCACAGAACACAGCGTCCGCCCCATGCACGCGTACGAGAGGATTGTAATTGAACCTGTAAACAAAACGGTAATTTAAATACAGAGATAAACTGCTTTTACATATGCGTTCTTTTACACGCAAATCAGCTTTCACGTAGGAATAGAATAGAATAGAAAATCATTTATTCAAATAAACTTAAATTGAAGCACTTTTGAATAGTCATCACATTTTTTTTATCTACCACTCATTCGGAAAGTTATCTCATCATAAGAAGAACGAGCAAGAAACTTACGTGTTGCTCTTTTAAATAATTTTATTGTTTATTTACATTTTTAAATTAAAATGTTTGAATACAAACTACCAATTAGCACTAATTCAATTATATAATCAAATAGAAAAAAATATTAAATATACGTTATACGTAATTAAATAAGTTGGTTACTTATTAAATAATTAATAAAAGGAAATCAATGATTAGAGCAGACCAGTATGACGGATGAGCCAGCCATCACTGCGCTCGACCATATTTTAGGGAGCCGAATGACCCGGCCCACCACACCGCCACAAGTCTGGACATTTTAGTGAGCATGACTACTCAAGACACTAGACTACAATTGCCATCTGATAGTTATAGTATTCACATTTTACATAAGAATGCATGCGGCAATCAATACAAAAACCGCTACGCTTTCATATTTCTGAAATAATTAAATCAAGAAAGAAATGAAATATATAAGTTATAACGTTGTATGCTAATAAACTAATTATTTACTTGATATGTTGTCATGTATGAATTCGTCTATCCTGTAATAGGCTTTCTTACACAAAAATTGTTTAATATAAGATTTGAAGTGCCTCTCTGTTGGAATTAGCGCAGATTCTGGCAGTTTATTATAAAATCTTACGCAATTTAACTTAGAATGAATTACTCACTTTGTGCAGATGGCATTTAGGTAAAATTATTTTTATTGCTTAAGTTTCCACTTGTACAGTCTTTAAGTTTTTTAAAACTCTCCAAATTCTTCCGTGTATACATAATATTTTCATAAATGTATTGTGAATTAACGGTGAGTATATTTGATTCATTAAAGCACTAACGTAATAACTCTTTTGAACCCATACCATAAATGGAACGTATGGCTCTCTTTTAAAATAAATATAGTATTTATATCGGCTGATTTACCCCATAGCAGTATGCCATATGACATAATGCTATGGAAATAACTAAAATATAAGTTTAGCCGTAGCGTAGGAAAGAATAAGCTTATAAATAATAAGACAAAGGGAATAAGAAAGGCGCGCGCCTCAAGCTCGCTCAGCATAGGAATTCACGCAAGAGAGAATAAGCTTATAAATAAAGAGAAAGAGAATGAGAATGACTGCGTGCGGAGCAAGCTCACGTGTTCAAGTCTTCAATCGTGCTTGCTTTATCGCCTTTTTATAATCGCGTGTAGCGCAAGCTCCCGTGTTTATGCCTTTAACCGTGCTTGCTTTATCGCCTTTTTATAATAATTAATTATCAGAAAATGAGATATACGGCAGAGGAAAAGTATTTGTCGCAATATGGGTATAGACTCAATAACGGTCGGTATCGTATCGTATTATTTTAGTAACATTGGTCAGGTTTCCGCACTGATATTTGTGGTATCGCACATTATAATCATTGCGTAATTAAACAAAACAATATAAATACATTAAGTAATGATATGGCCTTAGGCAAATAATAGCAAAGTCGGTTAAATTTATAGATATTTATATAGAAGTATATTCTGATGACTCTTTATTGCGCACATATAACAAACAAAGAATATTACAAAAGATCTTATCACTATAGTTATATAAGCAATCTCTTCAGAGCCTAGATTGCTTGCATGTAATAAATTAAAACAAAATAGTTAAGTATAGTTCAAAAACATTGAAGTTTTCATTTAATTTTGAATACGTACATGATATATTCAGTTTTGTAAGATTCTACGTAACTTGAGCTAAGTAAATAACGTTGTTTTGTTACGTCAACTCGTGTTGCTTTGATGTACCGGTTAGTATTAAATAATGTTAATGTTGCTGTTTATTTCCAAAAAACAGCAACAGTCAATATATATATAATAATTAATACTAGATTTAAAGACTAACTTGCTGTCCCCAAGTATCGTTTAGAAAAAGTCAATAAGTCTTTTATGGGAATAGGTATAAAAATTTACAATAAGATACCAAAGGATATTTTGGAATTACCCTTAAATAAATTCAAAACATCTGTTAAATCATATTTACTGAGTAAAAAGCCTATTCGTCACTACACGATTACTTGAATGTCGAGCGTGCATGACAATAACTGTTCATGCACGGGATTTTCATTCAATGTTAGACATAGACGCCTATATATATATATGTGCGTAGTAAATAAGCTTTAAAAAAATACAATAAGTAATTCAATTGAGTTTAGAGAGAACTGGACGGTAAATAAAATAATATAATAAAAAATTTTACATAGTATGAATTACAGTGCATCAAAAATTTACTCAAAAAAAAAATACTAGCTGAGTTTCTTGTCAGTTCTTGTCATCTCGAAATCATTCTGAACTGACGGTAGATTTAACATATCATAAGAGTCTGTAATAGACCTACATGAATAAAGATATGTTGAATATGAATTTGAATTATGTTTTTGTGTGAAATCTCATTGTTAAGTTTCATGCAGTTTTCCGAGATACGATTCCAATCTTTTAAATTTTACATGGTTTATCATTAATAATTCATATTTTCACCTTACCATGAAGTCAAAATTTTGAATAGCAATTTTAGTACTTTAACAATTTTCTACACAGGCTGGTCAATAAATAAATTACTTACACAGCAAAACTACGTTTCTGGATCAGGTATATACCTGATACGGATAACGTGTAATTTTGGACATATATATTTGTAAATGTCCAAATTTAAATGTCCAAAAATATAAAATTTTTAAACCCATCATGAGGGTTTAAAAATTTTATATTTTTGGAATCATCAATCAATGAAACTCATCATTTATGAATATGAAAAATAATTGACATATTCTCAAACCTACAGAATATACACACAAAATTAAATACGGTCCAGCCGATTCGGATGGTAGTTTGTTATAAACACAATAAACATCATCATCTCAGCCCAGTAGACGTCCACTGCTGAACGAAGACCTCAAAAAATTTTATATATTCTATATGTACGAGCTAACATCGTACATTATTTCGCAACATTAACATTTTATCTAGACACGCGAGAGCGTGTCAAAGCCGAGTTCAAGTAAGAGAACTGGCGAGCAGCATCGTGTGTAGTTTTACGAACCATTTGGATTCACTTTTGAATCCCTTATAACTCAAAAACTCTTTCACATAAACCTGTCAAATTTGGTTCATATATTGAGACTTATGAGATAAATATGTGTTCCAAATTTCGTATACATATCTCAAACGGTTATTTAGATATTAACGTCCAAATATCGTCATTTTTATCACTGACTCAACTATAGATCAAAATTATAACCCACTTCCAAATGACCTAGGAAGTTCAAATTTGGCATGCAGATAGGTAATTAGGAGAATATAAAGGAAAAAAAATATTTTTATAACTTAGGGTAATATACTGTAGCCTAAGGTCTGACTTGGCTAGTTTTCATATACGAAATATACTGTAGCCTTCGCAAGTTCTAAACCTGTTACTTGTCGGTTCCTATTTTGTTATTAGTAGTAACTAGCCATCGAAAGTTATAATTGGTATATAAGAACTAGCCAAGTCAGACCTTAGGCTACAGTATATTATCCTAAATTATAAAAAGAACTGATATTTTATATTGTTATAAATACATTTCAGGACAGACCATTAGAAATAGAAATAATAGAAATAGAAATAATCTTTATTCAAATAAACTCATTACAAGCACTTTTGAATAGTCATATTTTGATTCTACCACATTGAACTTGGCAACCATTTAGAACTCACTTCTTTTATCGTCGAAGTCAACAATCAAGGTATATATCATAATATTGAACTTGGCTATCATTTCACGAAACATAAATCTAAAACCAATCAAAACATATATGTTTTTGATGAGTTTTACATTTCATTTAAAATCAGTTCGCATTCGGTCATCAAGGACGCCGCGCGTGCTCATTACAATCATTAATCAGTTATATTTTAAGTTTCAATATACAGTCTTAATCGAGTTTCTATCAGTTTTATCTATCAGAATCTTTATAGCTTCGGTACAACCCGAACACTACACTTATCTACAGAAATTGCTGGTTCAAATTAGTTAAATAGGATTACAACATTTCAATTTGCCCTAAAAAAAATTTTGATTAAAAAAGAAATTCAATCTCAATTTCTACCTCTAGCAGACGTTTCTTTCTATTCAGATATTTCTTATTAAAAGATAAAAGGATGAGACGGGACATAATGACTGAGATTAGGTTTGAAGACAAAAGTGATGTAATTTCATTTTTAATCTTTACAAGCGAGGGTTTGATCGCTACCTCTCATTAGCCAGTTTCCGAGTAAAAGTTTGTCCCTGTAAGTTTATTAAAAAGCTTAAAAAAAATTTATTCATGTTGAACATTATACTCTGACTGGATGCTGCTTTGGCACTGGTCTGTTCGGGTTACGAACACTGATTAGACTTTTTGCTTTTGCAACAGAATAATTATTGGTCACTCTACTTATCTATATATCTACTAGCTGTCACGGCAAACGTTGTTTTGCGTTAAAATAAAAAAAAAATATTAGGGGTGAACTACCCCTAACATTTAGGGGATGAAAAATAGATGTTGGCCGATTCTCAGACCTACTCAATACGCTCACAAAATTTCATGAGAATCGGTCAAGCCGTTTCGGAGTATGGGAACGAAAACTGTGACACGAGAATTTTATATATAAGATGTATCTATATTACCAAGTATATGAAATTCATAATAGTCTATCACGTCATATATATGTATTTGATGGCCTCGATTGTTTAGCGGTGTAGAACACCGTTTTACTTACGATAGCGGGTTCGATTCATCGCCCGATACATTTGTATCTCATTAGTATATT